CCTAACCAATGCAAGGAAAGGTGTACTGCAGAGTGCTTTGGATTTATTAGCTGAACTGATTGTCCCATTCCCAATGGCTGGGAATGTCAATCCGTTGGGAGCCGCAATCGCCCGTAACTGCAGAGGTGAAGATAAACAAAGCATCTCTAGGTTGCCAGGTGTCCAGTTTTGAACCAGACAGTCCAGTATTTGAGCTTTCTGTTCAGGTAACAAACTGAAAAAATATAAATGAGAAAATATAAATGTCTGGTATTTTCTAAATAAGACGTAATGTCGATTGTGATGTAATGTCAAGCGTGTCCGGTATTTTTGTTGAAACCATCTGGCAACCCTAAATATCTCATGGCCAGCTAGCAGCTTGCACTTTACAAGTCATAAGACAGAGTTTGAAAACCCCTAAATTAGACCATCCCTGTCAGGTGTTTATCTAGCCTGCTCTTAAAAATCTTCAGTGATGGAGATTACACAACCTCCCAGAGCAGTGTATTCCAGTGCTTAACCACCTTGACAGTTTTAAAGTTTTTATTGATGTCTAACCTAAACTTCTCTGCAATTTGAGTCCATTGTATCTTGTCCTTTCATCAGAGGTTAAGGAGAATAGTTTCTCTCCCTTTTCCTATAATAACCTTTTTGATATTTGAAAGCTGTTGTTGTCTCTCAGTCTTTACTTTACCAGACTAAACAAATCCAATTCTTTCAATTATCGCTCCATAGGTCATGTTTTCTAGACCTTGAAGATGGAATTATGGAATAAAAGCCTGTGTTATTAAATGCTCAGAGAGGGCCGATAATGGTACTTCAGGATCTTGATGGCCCATTGGCAAGAGAACAGTGAACTGCAAATTAACTTGCTTTTCCTGCAAATCTGAGAGGAGGGGCTATGGTTGATCCTATCAAGACATGTGGCTATATTACCTGATGATGGGATCCATCTTGGGGTCTGTATTTTCCGCTAAATGTGAGAGAAAAAGTTTTAACTGAACACAAAGAATCCTCGCTTTTGGCAACATCTATATAAAGTGGGAAACCAAGCAGTAAGGGAGGCTGTCAGAAATCAGTACGCCCCTGCTCACCATTCAAGATGACTAATGGAAACATCTAAGACTGAACAGGGAGAAGGATTAAGTCCAGACTAGGAGACTTTCAATCTGTTTAAAAGAATCTTATCGGAATAAAGGGGGGAGGGGAGAGAAGATATTCTATGTAATATTTTATGTTTCTTAATTAATTAAGCTTAGCTTGCGTGTTCTGTTTTATTTTGTTTAGTAATCTACATTGCTCTGTTGTTACTTACGGTCACTTAAATCCTACCTTTCATACTTAATAAAAATCACTTGTTTGTTTATAGACCCAGTGTCAATAATTGTTATTTGGTGGGGGACAGGGGAGCTGTGCAAATCTCTTTATGTAAAAATGCTCTTACATGTAATCATCAAGTGATCCATCCATTCTCAGCCCTGACAAAAAGAGGCTAGAGACATCATTCCTGACTATCCTGGCTAACAGCCACTGATGGACCTATCCTCCATGAATTTATTTAGGGTATTTCTTCACAACATCCTCTGGAAAAGAGTCCCACAGTTTGACTGTGCATAGAATGAAGAAATACTTCCTTCTGTTTGCCGAAATTCTTCTGCTTAGCAATTTCATTTGGCAACTCCTAGGTTTTGTGTTACAAGAAAGAGGCGTTTCCTTATTTACTTTCTTCACACCAGTCATGATTTTATAGACCTCTATCGTATCCCCCTTTAGTTATGTATTTCCCAAGCTGAAAAGTCCCAATCTTCCTAATCTCTCCTCATATGGCAGCCTTTCCATACCCCTAATCATTTTTGTTGCCCTTTTCTCAAACTTTTTGCCAATTCTTATGTATCTTTTTTGAGATTAGGCAACCACATCTGCACACAGTATTCAAGATGTGGGCATACCATGGATTTATAAAAAGACACTAAGATATTTCTGTCTTACTATGTCTCCCTTTCTTAATGATGCCCAACATTCTTTTTGCTTTTTCAATGCCACTGCACATCAAGTGAATATTTTCAGAGAATTATCCACAATGACTCCAAGACCTCCATCTTGAGTGATAACTGCTAATTTAGACTCCCACCATGCTATATGGATAGTTGGGATTATGTTGTACAATATGCATTACTTTGCATTTGTCAACATTACATTTCATCTGTCATTTTGTTGCCCAAAACCCCAGTTTTGTGAGATCCTTTTGAAGCTCTCAGCAATCTACCTGGGACATATCAATCTTGAGCAGTTTGGTAGTGATTTAATTTAATGTTATAATGATTTAATCTAATGTAAAAAGCACTTTCCCAAAGACTCAGTGCTTGCAACACTGCTTATTTCTACCTCTGTTCTCAGGCCACAAAATAAATCAAATTAAAAAATCTGTTCACCTCATGGGAGCAAGAATTTGGGAAGGCTCATGATCATGCTGTCCAGGGTAACACATTGTCTGTCTTCAAAAGCCAATACTGTATGCTGACAGTATTTGGAAATGATTGTGGCTTGTAAAACCACTCGCATTACTGCTGGAAGAATATTGCTTTCTCTTGGAGTGAGTCAGGAAGCAATAACAGAAACATTGTTGCATTTTATATTACTTTATTTCTACTTAATCGCATTGGCTATGAGATGTACTTAATTTTCTCTTTGTCCTAGAATTAATGTAGATTTTGAGGTCTGGCACAAGTAGTTATCCTGTTCACAAAAGTAAATGGAAATGAAAGACAGTGCCACTCACAAATAGCTTCAGTCAAAATGTGCTGTTTATTTGTGAGTACATTGTACCATTTTCACAACATAGAGAGCAAGGAGATGAACTTAAAATGAAGTAACATTTGAAATTATTTAATGGAACGACACTGATTATTTGGCTCTTTTACACCAGTCTTTGGTATTCCAGAACTATTTTATTTTGAAAATTAATACACTACAGTATATTTGTCTTAAATCTTTTTAAATCAGCAGAGCTCTGATTATTCATATCATCTAAGGATCTAATCCTAAATTACAAGATTAACTGAAATGGGCTAGAGATAAGACACTTACCTTTACTCACAGTGATCAGTAACTTGTTCTGTGAGTAGTATCACTGATTTTTAGAGTGTTGGGAAGGGTGGATGAATGCAGTGGGCCTATAACAAAGTTTGGCTCTTGATGAAGAGCTCAACATTCAAAAACATTGAATTTTGTTTCTGCAATGTGGGTCCAAGTTTGAGTCTTGATGCTGTGCCCACAGATCCAACAGTACAATGGAAATTTAAACACCTTGAACAGGAAGCTGTGGATTCCCCTGAGAGTAGAGGGGCTAACAGTGGGAGGGGAGGGAGTGTGTGTCAACAGGCCATTCCTACAGGTGCAGATTAGAGAATTAGTTCAAGTGCAATAATTCAGGACTGTTTTGTCCTGGTGGTCAGAGATCTCATCAGCTACCCAAAATTTAGGACCTGCACATGTGCACAATACTGTCACAATTTCTATTAAATCCCTCTTTCTTTGCAAAGAATAAAGAGTGGGTGCAAACAGAATACAGTATTTTAGTGCCTTTTATACAACAATATTTATACTCAAGAAAATGTTTGGATTGTGAAAGCAGAACATATATTATAACCCACAGAAGAAGCAGTTCCACTTTCAGAACTCCAGCAAAAACAACAATGTTTGAACCATTATAGGCAACCAGCAGCACTCCCTCTGACACCCTCTTCTCCTGGTGCCCTGAAGCCCCTGTTCGGGTAATTGCTCAGTATCAGTCCCTTAGTTTCATGCCAAAACACAATAAAGATCATTTGTGTTAAAGCTGTCATTCAGTCACCACCTTATTCACGTGGCCAAGGGCAACCCCAAACCAACTAAAGGAGTCAATGTGTTTGACTAAGCAAAAACACTTATCTATTCTCACTTATTACATGATGGAAAGGAACGCTCTCTCTGTGATACAATAAAGGCTGCTCAAGTATTGCTTTCCGAAGCACCTTTAGCAATACTCAGTTGGGTTTTGCTACAGATCTGTAGCAGTCAGCTGTCTCATTTCTGCAAGAGTTATTTGTTTTATTTCTTTATTGTTTTTGACCCACCTATTTATGAAGTAATACTTTAAAGTTACTTTCTTTCATCATTAAAGTTCTAAGCATATTTAGTATCTGTGGGTATGTCTACACTTGCCCCCTAGTTCGGACTGGGAGGCAAATGAAACATACCGAAGTTGCTAATGAAGCACGGGATTTAAATATCCCACGCTTGATTAGCATATTCGCAGCCGGTCGCCATTTTAAAATGCCGGTCGCCCGATTTAACTTGCCGCGTGTAGACGCGGTAGTCCGATCCAAAACCCTTCCCTGGAATTAACTGTTACTCATCGTGAAATGAGGAGTAACAGTTAATTCCAGGTAAGGATTTTGGATCGGACTACCGCGTCTACACGCGGCAAGTTAAATCGGGCAACCGGCATTTTAAAATGGCGACCGTCCATAAATATGCTAATCAAGCGCGGGATATTTAAATCCCGTGCTTCATTAGCAACTTCGGTATGCTTCATTTGCCTCCCTAGTCCGAACTAGGGGGCATGTGTATACATACTCAGAATGATTTCATATCAGATGTCAGAGTTTTACAATGGGTCTACTGTAAAACTGTATTCTGGCCAGTAAGTTGATGTTCAAAAGCATAAGTTGAACAGAAATCAAAGGAAAATAACAGAAGTGTTGCATATAAACATCACAACCTCTGTAGACTGAACTTTTTTCTTTCTTTTTCAAAGACTGTTGAAACCCTCAACTTTCATCACCAGAAGAAAAATAATTATTTTTACAATATCTTCTCAAGTGCATACAATGATGTTACCAGCTTGCTCAGAAGAATGCTAAGATACCAGCTGGTACCAGTTTAATAAGAGGGAAGTGCTATTAAGGGCACCTCACTGAAAACACAAAATAATAAGCCAAAAGTCATAAAACATTTATTCTCCAATGAATTTACTTTACCTTGAAAGGCACTGGCTCTTCAGTAAGTGGGCTAACAGGAAGTGAAGCAGTACTACTGGCAGGACTCATATCTGTACTCTGTAAAAAAAAAAAATACCTCAGTGTTAATGCTTTCAAGTTTGGGACTTTTAAGTTGGACACGGTGTTTTGCAGTTTAGCTACTTGAAACTGCTTCAATTTTTTTATCTAGAGAAGTAAAAGAAAGAACGAACCCATATTTTAAAAAATAAATTCTATTAAGCTAGACTGTATTTTCTTAACTGGGTAAGAGTTTCAATATTTCACTTATGGATAAATTATGTCAAAAAGTGTGCCTGGGGAACGTAACAACCAACACAATTAATAAACTATTAACATATGCACAGAGACATATGTGCATTTAGAGGCGAACATCAGGGGACTGGAACTATTTGGAACAAATGCCCTGGGTGCATACATAACAAATGGTGGACAAACTTGACTGATTTATATTTTCTTGATTGCCAAGTCATCATATTAAAGGATAAGCATCTGAAGAATGTCAGGGAGATTAGTACAAAGCACAGAAGTAGCTAATAATATTGAAATACTGTCTAGCTGTTAAATATATTAATGAAGTTTACAGGTAATGCTAAACTGGGGCCCATTTGCTACAAGGAAAGGGTTGAAAACATATTCACAAGAAGCTAACCTGGAAAAAAAATACCTGTCCAAACAATAAAAAGCATGCTTGCAGAGGAAAAAAAAGTACAGAGCACAGAACACATAGGCGCTCAATGGATATATTTTATATTTTTTAAATTTTTTTTTTTTACTTGAAAGTTTTAGAAAGCATAGTAGGCATGTGAAGCCAAAATGACATTTGCTTTCTGTGCAATTCTACTGCATTGCAGAACAATTTATATTTTATTTATTCAATATGGCCATTATAGGACCAGTTCTGTAGTAGATGTGAATCTTTGTAGTTCCAGTGATCTAGCTTATACTTTCTAGGCAAACAATATTACACAGACACATGTCGTAATCAAACTAATACAATGTCACTAATAGCAATAAAAACTCTTCGAGCAAAATGAAAAGACTCTGCTTACTCCTCCTCTTGAAATTTAAACAAATACAATCATACCCTGAAAGTCACTGGAAACTGGCTCTTTCAACCCAAGCAAATACAAAGTGAGGGCTTTCTGATGAGAGTTTCTTGTTCCAAAACATACAAATGAGGCCTGCAAGTCTCTGTTTTCCAAAATTAATTTAACTGCTGAAGGCACTGTCTTGAATTTAAAATGAAACCCAAACCACAAAGAGCTTTAAAACAGAAACATACCACCTGAATTTGCAGCTGGAAAAAGAACCGAAAGCCATTGGAGCCTTTATAGAGCAAGTATACTGTGGGCCATAGGAGAAACATGAGAAAGCAGTCTGATAGATGTATTCTGCATGGCAGTTTCTGGGTAGTCTTCACTTACAGTCTCATGTGGGGTCAAAAAACAACACCTAAGGACACCAGAACTGCTTTGTTGGAAACTATGGAAAAGTTGATGCCAATCTCAATTTTACAGCATTAGGAACTTGGCCATATACTAGTTTTAATTAATTAATTAATTTCAATGGTGAAATGCCAGTTCACAGATGCAGAGAATCAAGTGAGATGGTCCGGAATAAACAGTAGTTTCTAGAGCAATTAAGAGAAATAACATTACTGTGAGAGATCCCAGCAGGTGACTTTCCTGAAGGGAAGAATTTACAACCTACAATGCCAAACACACCTTTCTTAATTTGTGTCTGGCAAATGTATGTCTGGCAAATTGTAGTTTGAAGTTCTTCATTCATATCCAGAACTTCTTTGAAAACTCCATAGAGGACTTCACTTTTGACATCTCCTGACTCATTTCTGTTGTCACAGCAACAGCCAACTGGCTTGAAACTAAATAAGCTTATCTGTGAATTACCTAGACAATGCCACACACTTGGGTTCCCTTCCTAGTTCTATCACAAAGTGCTGATGGTATGTGAGCAGGATTTTTTGTGAATTATGATAAACATGGTTTGATGTTAGTATAGGTTGCTTTCACCTAATAATGAATTAGGAAACACAAAGTTATGGATTAAAAAGATGGCGAAATTGAGTACTTTTTTTAGGAAATGCCTAAATGAAGGTTGCTTGTGCAACCATAATTTGGCCGCTCTGTGTGTATGCAGTTAGTTATTTGACCTCATTTTCCCTATCTCCCCTTCCCCAAGAAGACACCTGATTTATTCAGGGTGTGGGCCAGATATGCTTTCATGATAAATTGGAGCTGGGTAGAGAAGGAATCTGCCTGTCAGACCCGTCACTCATTTGCTGAAGAAGTTGGATGTGTGTAGTGAATGAAGGAGGGGATTTGAGGAAGACTTGACACTGAATTCCCACATGATGTTGGAGAAGTCATTTACACTAAACTTCTCACAGATAGTCCTTTTGCATGTAAATCAAAATCTCTGGCATAACGTATACAGGTAAAGCAGCTGAATTTTAGGTTGCATAAGCAATATTTGTTCATTTTGGCATTTTCTAACATCAGACTACACGCAGTCCCCGGCTTACGTACAAGATAGGGACTGTAGGTTTGTTCTTAAGTTGAATCTGTATGTAAGTCGGAACTGGCGTCCAGATTCAGCCACTGCTGAAACTGACCGCCAGTTCTGACT